GAACATTTTCACGTGTATTAAGGTGTGTTTGATTTTTGGAAGGCGCAGTTTGGAAAACCATATTTTTTAGTGCTGTAGCACTTCCCTGCTTGATAGCAAGGAAGGTTTACAGCATATCCACTGCACTTGCCTTATATTTAAGGCTAAAAAGTGGATATCACTAGTTCTATAGGGGACAATGGAATTTGGGATATCCAGTTTCCTGGAAGACAGTTTTTAAAATGGGCAATTGAACCCTCAAAGTTGGGTGCAAAGTCAACCCAATGAGGGGAAATGACCAAATCGGAGGGCTTCGACACCAAAAATCACAGGGACAACCTGTCTTATATCAGCTTTTACCATGATGCCTTTAGTCATAACTTTTGAGATAATGTGGATTTGTTTAGGTCCTGTTTGGACATCCTAGCAGCCATATCCAACCTTTGGCCTTAACTGCCTCTATAGGCAATTGTGAAAATAGGCACTCTTCAATGCTCGCAATCAAGCGGAAGAATATCAATGTTCTGATTAAAGAAGTTTTGTTCTTTCGCTAAGTCGAAACAACGCTAAATGGCGGCGTTTCCCGGATAGTACGATCCCATTCATAAGTTTATGTCTCATGATAGGCTAGCACACCACCCACTCAAGGGCAGAGTAAGGTAGATTTTTTCCAACTGCTAGAAATGTGAATGTCCAAACGTGGCCTTAGGTTGCACAAAACATCAGAAGCATCATTTCCAAACCTGCAATTTATTAATATCCTTTCTTAAATCTGTAGGACAAAAGTTTGAATGAGATACTATTCGGATGTATTGCCCTTTTAAAAAAACCATCATACAGATGGAATTAGGATCTAATACACATCTTAAGTAGCTCTATATCCATTTCCTCTTCAACTATATGATTTTTCTAGGTCGAAAAATAGTGCAGATCAGATGATATATGGAGAATTGAAATGAATGGTGATGAACATCCAAAGTTTAAAATACTCTAGAATTTTAAGGTTTAAAATCCACTTTTTTTTCACTTTCATAATTGAGGTGGTTGAGATTATTGACCTATAAAAATTTAGATCCAAAATCTGTTTCTAAGAAATTTTTGAAGGAGACCACATTTGACTAGGAGCCTTGGCTGACACATCAAATCATTATCCCTATCTATATGAGAACTTTCAACGGTATACAATTTTGAACTTGTGCCACAGAGCCTTCTACAATCTTGAACAACTTTCCACTCTTTGCCATGTTTTCTAGTAAAGAAAGTTCACAAGGGCTTTGTTTTGTTTTAATACATACGATATGGTTTTTTAGCTGTCAAATGCCAAATCTAACGGCTGGTGGTAGATCACCACGGTACTCAAAATTTTAAATTTTTTTCATTTGACTTTGTGCAAAGAAATAGTGGACAGCAGCCCTTTGATTCTCGGGAAAATTATAGATACCCTCCCAAATTGGGCTTTGTAGGCATGCTTTATCTCAATATGTTGGATACCACACTATTAGCCTCAATGCTATTTATTTTTCATCCACCCCTAAAACAAAAAAAATTGATTTTTTTAGACTAAAATACTATCGTTTTAGCCCACTTTTCCCACTTTGTTTCTCTAAGCTAGGGGCACAAATACAAAAGCCTGTCCGACTGTCCGACACAATCTCAATATAAGCCAGTCCGACACATTTGTTATCAGACTGGCAAATTTTGAATGCCAAAAGCCAATCTGTCACATTTTGTGTTAACTGACCTTTTTTGTCATAAGCCGGACTGGGACATTTTTGTGCCAGACCAATATTTTTAGGCATTATATTTTAGAAATGTGGGTTAAAATAGGAGGTATTTTCAGACCAAAAATTATTTTTTTATTTAAAAAAATAGACACAAAAATAAATAGTATTGAGTTTAATAAGGCGAACCCAAAAATATGTTCTTTTTTTAAAAGCCCTTGGAAGAGCTTATGACTATAATGTACAAATTAGAAGTATCAATAATTATCCCCGATCCTACAATTGCCCAATTTGGATGAAAAGATAACGGTCTCAACGTCTTCAATCCCATTTCTAGCAGCCCTTATAAGTACTTTAGCCTATTGTTTGGTTTGTTATAGATATAGGTATCCTAGGGTCATGCAGGTGATATTCCTCTGTGCTTGCCTACAAAGCAAACACTGTACTCTGATCCACATGACCAAACACAAAGAATGGTAATAAAGTCGCAGGTCCCAGTTGCTCGATACCCTTTTTTAACTGCACTCTATCTCCTTGTTTTTCCTTTATTAACTGGACGGTGGCTCTCTCTCTATCCCTTTTTTTTCTTTTATTCAGTGGACAGTGACCGTTTTTCTAAATGTGAATGAACTCTTTCACATTAAATTTTTTTTTTAAAATTATTGAAGATCGTCTACACGAATCTTAATTCATTATTATGTTTCAAGAGCCTCTCTACATTAAAGTTTTTTTTCAAATTGTTTGAGATCGAGTTTTTTTCTAATTGTTTAAGATCGACTACATGAATCCTTATCAATCATTATGTTTCAAAGGCCTCTTTCTCTCTCTCTAATATGTTAATTGCATAGTAGTTGTGAGATCATAATAATTTTTCTATTGAAAAAGGAGGGGTTCTCTTATTATCGAATCGAATGCAAAGATGCCTCGTCCCATGTATTTATAAAATAAATAGATAGACCCCTATGGTAGTGACCTTTGCATGTAAACACAGTTATTGGTATGTTTGTCTTGCATATAAACTTTACATTCAAGTCAATGGATGTATTCCTTAGCCACTATTCACTATTTCTATAAAGTTGATTCTAGAATAAAGATAACAAATTATCCATTGCTTGTTAGTGTCCATCATAAAAGTCATCTGACATAAGCTTATAGTGACTCATCTAATTGAAAAACTGTTTTCATTTATTTAAAATAATTGATAGTATAATATATGTTTTGGCCAAAAAGAGCAAAGTATAGTTGGGAATCACCCAAAAAAATAATAATTAAATAATGTTTTACAGAACACGAGGTACATACCAAATAATTAATAAAATAAAATATATTTATTTTATGTAAAGTAATCTATTTCACATAAAATTAATCATCATCCAAGCCGGGCCAAAGGTGCCAACCTAATAGGTTAGCCATGATGCTACCAGCACTTCCTCTAAAGAATAAATAACAGGCCCATTCACAGGTTGTGTAGTATAGCAAGTATTCCGTACATCACGGATTTCCCTTCCATTTGGGGAAGCATACAGCCACTGTCTTGGTGGTGACTTCACCATTCAACGCTTTGCTTTCCCAATTGTAATCAATATAAGTGAATTATTAAAAGAGAGAATAGCTTATACTATGGTCCAAGGCCACCATTAATTTTAAATGGGTTTTAGAGATGTATTTTATGTTTGGAAGTCATGGCCGGTTTATCTCTAGAAATAGGGAGTACAACTTATATTCTTATATTTCTTCATCTTTATTGTAACTATAAGGTTTTTCTCCTTTATCTAATAAGAGTAATGGTCATATGGGACTTCCTATACTCAAGTGCGTAGGATTCTAAAAGTTATACTATTATTTTTTATACAGATTTTTAAAAAAATCAAGTCTCGTACTTATATGATAACTTTTCTACTGATCAGTGTCAAATTTAACGGTAATCCTTTAAAGCTCTACATACATGTGTGTGAGAGGAATTCATCGGATCATTACTCATCTAATAAAATATACCATTAACATTCGAAAAAAAAAACAAATAAAAAGAAAAAAATCGAATAGTAGGCAAGAAGTGGATGGTGATTTCCCCGTCAAGGCATCTTGAATCATACACCATTGGTGTAGATCACTACACGGTGCTTCACTTGGTTTGGATCGGTCAAAAGGGCTGCGGTCTAACATATATTTCTAGAAGAAATTGATATTTTGACTTAAATAATAATGAAATTTGGGAAGGTTATTAAATGCTTGCACCATGTATGAGGGCATGTAACGTGGGCATTGATTGTACCCGCTGTACTTGAATTGAAGGAATCATACAATTTGAATGAAGGCGTACTCTATTTATTTTCCAAAGAAAGGATTTTCCTACAAAACGAAAAACACTATAAACTAGAGAATATCAATAGGACCTAGTGCACTGTCTATCGGAGAGGTACGGTTTGGTTAAAGTGGAAGGATTAAATAATAATAATAACGAATTACACTAAAAGATTTTGCCAAAAGTATCGGCAAAAAATATAATGACTTTGACAAAATATATAGCCCTCGATAAAATAGAATAACAGACCAAAATCCCTTCAATCAATCTGAATTTTTGTTTGATGATGACAATGATAGGCTTTTAATAGAGGGTGTAGAAATATAGTACATGCTTTCACTTAAAAAGATTACGTGCTGCCTTTGTAAGATCTTATTCTTATTATAAAGGCCAGAATGATGTTTAGAAGGCCAGATTTAAGTTATTAAGGAACTTGAGCCCAATTAACTTTTATTGGAATCATTCATTTGATGCTCTTGACGGAAAGGGTCTATATGCAATGTGCTCGTTCAAGATTACCCTGGTAAAATTTTAAATTTAAAAAATAATTTAAATCAAGTAAATTTATATATGCCTAAATTTATAAACATATAAAAATATTAAAAATGAAGAGTCCAAATAATATGTAGCAAAATGTACTGACTTAAAATATGTTTTCATGACCCTATATATCTTGATGTCGAGACAACAATTCGGTACATATACAACATCAAAACCACCTTTATAAAAAGATTTTATTTCCACTTTGTACGTTATCTACCTTCTAAGATGAATTCGTGTTGGAGATAATCCATTATAATTGAACACACCACACATTGTTCCTGCAGTTTGGTGCGACTTTCCTTATAATAAAACAAGTGATTTCTACATGAAAAGCGATTGAAGGACATGGGTCAATTGAAGGAAAATTTGAAAAACAAAAGATCCAGAGTATAAAACCCAGAACACCATAAGACCCACTAAATTCAAACATTCACAAAAAGAAAAGGCCCACAAAATTTAACAATTATAAGTTCACTTCATTCATCATATATAAATAGTCAACATCGCAGTAAATACACAATTTACCACACAAAACCGGATTCCAGCAAAGCTTTTACAAACACAACCGAATTCCGGCCACCGGATACAAAGAGGCACCATACCCCAAATTAGCAACATAACTATAACAAATATTATATATTGCATATCTATGATTCTATTTAATTAGAAAGCATAGAAACTATATGTATCATATATCATATGGTTTTCTTCCATCTATAAAAGAAAGAAATATCATAGCTGCGGGCTGCCTGTTGTGCAACCACTTTCAGCACTTGACAACACAGTCAAAGAAAGCAACACAATGGGTGGAAGACTTTTCTCTCTCCCTAAAATCCCATCATTCCCCCTCTTTCTCTCTCTAAAAACACTCTCTTTCACACTAAAAACCCTCTCTCTCTAGGAAAAACAAACAGTAAAGAAACAGAAAAAGAGAAACCGACCAAATACGCGTCTAAGGACAAAAAGTAGAGTAAAAGATAAAGATAAAAAAGGGAATAAATGAAAAACGCGGGTAGAGGTAATTCGAAATTCTATGTATCTCTAAGATTTCATTTTGGGTGGGGATTAGATCCTGAAGTTTTTGCCGGTGAAGGTTTGGCCGAACTGCCAATTGGCGGGGACGACATTCCAGGAAGTGGAGGTACGGCGGTCGCTGCTGGTGACCCGGAAGGAGAGAGCCTGGCCCACGAGGATGGAGTTGGACTGCCAGTTCTGGCCCCAGTTCCGGGACATGCTCATCCACCCGGTGCGAGAGCCCTTCACCCAAACCTTGACAATGTCCCCAGCCCCGGCCACATTCGAGATGAGCACCAGGTTGAAGTACCGGAACCCATTGATGGTGAACCTGATTCCCCCAGGCTTGCGGCACGACACCCTGTTGTAGCAATAACCATTGCAGAGCAGAGGTCTCAGAATTTAGAGAGAGATTGCACTTTTTGTGATTTAGAGAGAAAGAGCAGGAGAATTTATAACGAAATTAGAAAGAAATATACTATTCAAATGAGAAAAAGAAGAGGAGATTCACTTGGTTAAAAGGCTCAGTTCTCCAAATTTAGGGAGATTAAGGAACGAATGTAAAAAATAGTAGAAAATTCCTTAGAGAAAGCACAATTAACACATGTTTTTTGAGTGAATGCTGGGAAAATTTACCCAAATAAGGAAATTACTTTATTTATAAGCGTCCTACACTGAATTCAGAAGTCCTCAGGGCATAAAAATATAGCAAAAATAATTTTAAAGAAGGGAAAATAGGAAGAAATTTGATGAAATTTTAAAATCAAAGGTAAAAATAAGCGAAAAACATATGTGAAATCTGAGGCAGAATTGAATTATCCGGGTCCCATCCCAGACTAAAATTTGACGAAATTTCGGGGCGCCATTTCGGTGAAAATTTTAATCCCTTATAAATGATTCACACGTGCGACTGCCACACGGCTGTGATATCTAGGATGACAAACAGCAGCTAAGATCGCACATCATCCATCCAGCTGAGAAATCGGTGATTAGGATTTGGCGTTGGGTTTAACAAGGGCAAGCAACGGGCCGCCTTTCCCGGGCCAGGACCTACTCTACTGAACAATTATTTTTTTCAAAAAAAAAAAAGACGAAAAAAAAAGAGATAAAGAATAAAAATATGGGTTCGATTTTTATAAAGTTGCAACCTTAAACAATTCAATTAAGGCGCATTTTAAAATTTTATCATAACATGTAATTTTGTTGTAAAAAATTATTAGTATCATCTTAAAATCTATTTTCATACCTACTTGGAAATTTTTAAATTTAAAAAATAATTAAAATGAAGTATCTATAAATATATAAAAATCTAAAAAAATAAACGGTCTAAAAATCTAAACAAAAAGAAAAAAAAAGGACAACTGAATAAATAAATACACACTCCGTGTATTAAAGAGCCAATAAATGGAAGAATTAAGTACAATAAATACCTAACATTTTAACAAAACTAAAACGAAGCAACAAACCATAACTAAAACAAAGAAATGACACGAAAATAGGAAAGAAAAAATAAATTCCAAACCCATGAAAGTAGTTAAATCATCTACAAGGAAAAGTATACCATTTAAGTAAATTAAGGGGGTAAGAAAATATTCACTGAAACGCAAATAAAAAATTGAATCGAAATAGGTAAAGCGAAATCGGAATGCCACGCGGCTGAGATCTCTCTCTCTCTAAAACAATTCACCCCGTGACATGTGTCAGATACAGGATTGTAAGCGCACGAAAAACATTCGCCCACTCCACAAGTGGGTCAGATTCCGATTTCCCTCTCTCTCTCCTCCCCAATGCAGCCCATTTTTCTCTCTCTACCCATGCAGGAAATCCCTTTCTTTCTCTCTCTAGAAGGACGAGATTCTAACCTTCTGTAAGAGACGGGCACAATGCCGGCCCTGTACTCTGCAATCTTCAAGAACATGGGCATGGCCAAATCGAAATGCGGGCGAGGAGGGTTGCACCAACCCCCATTGTCGCTGGGAAGAGCATAGTTCGGTGGACAGAAGTTAGTTGCAGTGATGAAGATGGAGGGACTTCCTGAGTGGCACCACTTTGGATCGCTTGCGCACTTGATCTCGAAGCAAGCTCCACAGCTGAGACCACTATTGAACAGAGCTGTGCTCAAAGCCGCAGTTTCCACGCCATAGCCTTGACTGTAAAGGTTTCCATACCCGCAAGCCCCACCTGAAAAGAAAAATGGACAAATGGGTCAGATTCATATGCTATTTGCAGGGCTTTGGTGGTTTCCAGATGGGTTTTGTTGGTTTTGGAGCATGTTCTCTCCAGGTTATGAAATGGGGTTTCATGGTTAGAGAGAGAGAGTACCCATTGTTCCTGACGCGTCACTTCCACCGTAGAATGTGGCATGAGCTGATTCCCAATCGCTGCCTGAGTAAACGCCTGGAATACGAGCAAAGGCGGGCACCATAATGGAGGCCAGGAGCGCGAGAGCCAAGACCCATTTCGGAGACATTTTAGAGAGAGAAACAGAGCACTCAGAGAGAGCAGAGGAGAACGCAAGAGAGAGGAAAACGCAAGAGAGAGAAGAAACAGGGAAAAGAGAGAGAGAGAGAAGTAGACGCGGAGGCAACGGTAGAGAGAGAAAGAGGTGAGGAATAAAGGAAGACGGGGGGGTGGGGGAGTACTTATGCTGATGCTTGGCGGGTGTCGCAGAGCGATGAAATGATGGCAGGCTAATTAAAGCGACGGCAGGACCGGATTAAAAGCGTCAAGTATTTTTTTTCTTCTTCTTTTTTTTTTTCATTTTTTTTTTTTTTTTGTTTTTTAAGGAAAAACAGATATAAGGGCCAGTAGTACGTGAAAAGACAGGCTTGCCCCTGGATTTGACCGATATGACGGGACTACCCCTGGGATTTTGCAACTGACGACTTCCTCCTTGAATTGCTCGAACCTTCCTTCCCGCCTAGATTTGGATGGGCGGCCAGGATTGAAGGGGGTGTAGCGCATCTGGACTGTAGATCTAAGATCTAATGCTTTTCTGAGTTGGAAAGCGATCGATTTCAGACGGTCGATGGATTCGAGCTGAAATGTCTCGAAATCACTCCGAAAAATGTTTTTTAAAGATAAATTTCGGCTGAAATCCGAAATTTCGTTGCGAGCAATCCCGGCAAAACCGTTAATGTCATAGAAAATCTTTAGAGGAGGCTCCACGTACATAAATGCATGGTATCAAGTGCACTCCATTCTGGGACATGCATGGAAACAGGTCCTCTCTCTCTCTCTTCCTGTTAAACGGATTTAGAGAGAAAAAGAGAGAGGGAGAAAATATATTCCATCTAACTCAGTGTGAACGGTCATGTGCGCATGTCATGCCCTTGGAGCCCCGTGCCAAATAAGTGAAGACAGAAATTTATCCAGATCAAGAATGTGGATATAGATGAGGGAAAAATTTGCAGAGGATCTAAACATTTAAATTTGTACCTATCTCAATACTTTTAACCCGAAGAGGTTGTTTTGATGCTCAAATATCTTCAAATTAATCATCTCCACATCAAAATATATAGATATGAGAAAAAAATGTATTTCTACTTTTGAAAATAGTACATTTTGTAAAGTATTTTTTGATAGTCAATTTTCAAGATTTTTAGGTTTTCATAGATATATTGATCTACAAGATTTTTGAAGATTTAAACTTTATAAATAAATATAAAATTATATTTTAAAGCTATCACAAAGATTTTCAATAATGAAACCACATTTCTCGACACTACTTGAAGGTAGGTTCTAATTTGATTGTTTAGAGACTAGGCTCATAGATAATATTCGTACATACAACGTAAATAATGTAATCCCACTGGTGCATTAACGCTATAGATCCCAAAATTTAAGATGGTCTGTCGTTAGTTTCGATAAACAACTTTTAAATGCAATTCATCAAAATACACCTTAAATTTGAACATTTGATATTAACCCCACACATAACTTTATAAATATCAAAACCCTTTACGTTTCATTTGATGAACCGTTCAAAATTTAACAAATTCCCCTCATTCTAATTAAGAGAAAGTGGAGAGAGAGAGAGGGAATAAAATGTTGAGAGCAATAACTTGGAAGTCAATCAAGCTTCCTCCTCCTCATTATCTTTTTAACGCTGAGTTTTTTTTTTTTGGGTGCGGTTCACATAGAGCCTAGGCTCTAAACAATCAAATTAGATCCTATCTTCAAATAGTATTGAAAAATTTGGTTTCAATATTGGAATTTTTTGTGATAGCCTTCAAATATATTTTCATATTTATTTATAAATTTTAAATTTTAAAAAATAGTGTAGATAGATAGATCTATGAAAACTTGAAAATCTTAAAAATTGAAGGTAAAAAAAATACTTTACAAAATACACTATTTATAAAACTTAAAATCTATTTTTTTTCTCTTGTCTATTCATCTTGATGTCGAGATGATCAATTTGAAGATATTTAAGCATAAAAAAAACCTCTTCTAGTGAAAATTTTGAGGCAGGCTCTAATTTGATTGTTTAGAGCCTCGGCTATATATACACTTTTCCCCCCTTTTTGGCCTTTCCAAAAACAGCGACTCTTCCGTTTCGTCGCTCATGACGAGTGGGATCACACCCTTTCGGCAGCCCTGAAAAAGGACAAAAGAATACGTCATTTTTTAAAAAGAATAGGGACACTGTCGTCATTTTGGCCCGTTTCAAGAGCCATAGGGACCTTTTCGTCATACGTCTAGAAGCCAGGCACAGATCCCGTCATTCTCCGTAAAGCGTCCCGGCAAAAGGACAAACTCAATCCGCTTTGCTTCCATCGCAAGTCGTGCCCCGCCGATAACCGGATTCCCGAAATCCCCCGACATTTCAGTGAATTTTCGGCCATTGGTAGTTACCGGCTGGGTCCGTCACTCGCGGTGGGTGGGACCCGCACATGTCCGTGTTTATCGGCCCACGTTTCGCGCCGGGCCTTTAACCGTACGTGGGACCCATCTCGAGCCTCACGTAGCCACCAATCTGAAGGCGCTTTTTCCTCTTTTTTTTTTTTCGATTGTTTGGAATTCCAATTTTTGTTGTGCTTTTTTTTTTTTGAAAAATATTGAGAGTTTTGGTGGACCGCCGGTGGCCGGTCACATTCCCCACGCCACCCGGTCACATGGGAGCGAACCCTAATCTGCTCGCGCCATGTGCCGCTCCTCTACTCTACGAGTCATGGGGACGGGGGGCATACCCCATGTGAACTGAATAATTGTTTTGGTCTCTCTCTCTAACTCTTTCTCTCACTAGTTCCTCTTACTCTCTCTCCTCTCTTCCTCCAAGAACTGCATTGCGATATGCCTGTTGTAGCCAAGTGATTTTCTACTCCCGCGGGTGCACATTATCAAATTATTCCCTCGGGTATATAATGCTAGGAATAACATTTAGATCGTAAATTTGGGGGATGCAATCTCTTCACTATTCTCAATAAAAAACATTATTCAAAATAGGATGCAGTTTTAATGGAGCCGAGGCTCTAAACAATCAAAGTAAAGCGTATCTACAAATAGTGTCGAGAAATGTGGTTTTCGTATGTACATTTTTTTGATAGCTTTAAAATATATTTTCATCTATAATTATAAAATTTTATACTTAAAAAATAGTGTAGATTGAGCAAATCTATAAAAAATTAAAAATCTTGAAAATTGACAGGTCAAAAATGCATTCCAAGATACACTATTTCTAAAACTTTGAAATTCATTTTTTTCTCATGTACATGCATCAAGATGTCGAGTTAATCAATTTGAGGATATTTGGGTATCAAAACAACCTCTTCTAGCGAAAATTTTATAACGCACCCTATTGCATCGAGCTCGTGCTTATATAAATTTTTTCTTAAAAACTACTCAAAATAGACTCGTATTAGAAAAAGTATAGTACTGTACAATTTTTGAATAGCTAGATCAAAGTATCACAAAATTCAAAATTTTAAAAATAATCATCTAGTAATCCTTATATGATTCTCAAAATTGTAGACTAAAATAATCTTTTTAAACAAGTATTTTGGGCGAGGGAGTAGATGAATAGTGTGGTCCTACGGGAGTATAACATTCGTACTCATAATAGTTTGGTTTGGGTGTCTCAATCTACATCTTACACGTCTTTCTCTCTCTATAATCTCCATTTGTCCTCCCGCCAACTATTTCGATTTTTCAAACTGTTTTCCCCTCTTTATCTCTCTACAATCTTCATCTGTCTCTCTCTCTCTTACTCTTCTCACCTGCAACCCACCCCCTCTTCCATGTGCTCACACTAATTACTTTCTTTTTCGAGTTCTTTCTCTTTCCTGTTTTTGAAATTCCACTTTCTTTTTGTTTTTTTGTCTTGAATTTATGTTGTTTGGTTTATTTTAGGGTCGATGCTTCCTTACTCCTTCATGCTCCTAACTAATCGGTCTCTATTTTTCTTTCTTTAATGGTAGTTTTTGCCTTTCCCCTTTATTTTGGGGTGGGTATTACTTCACTGGCACACTTCTATGGACCTTTCTCACTCCTATAACCAATTTTTCTCTCTTTAATTGCTTTTTCACATGGACTTAATGCATCTTTAAGACCCACCCCTCTGTCTCTCTCTACGCTTTAATTGTTGTGATTTTTCTTTTTTCCTATGTGTTGATTTACTCCTTGTTTCTTTTTAGGTTTTAGGTTTGGAAAAAGGTTATAAAATGCCTTAAAAATCCATTGAAAAAGGGTGTTCTATTGTTGAAAGACTCTCAAATTGATTATCTCAACCTCAAAATGTATGGAGTATAAACAAATGGAGATTTCAAAGCATGACAATAGTGTATATTGTTACGCATTATTTAGACTGTTCATTTTCAAAACTTTTAATCATCTAAGATATGCTCGATCTGTATTATTTTTCAAGCTTTAAATTTCACAATTAGAAGTGACAATGGATTTTCATGCCGTAAGGCTTTTCGGCACCGACATTGCACCTTTCAAGATAATTTAAAGTTCCACCTTATTTCGATTGTTTAAGATTGATGCCTTGTACAAAACCTCACCTTACATGAGTCTGCGCTCACTTCGTTATTCCTTCTCACTCCCATTCACTCGTTTGTGTTTTCCCTTTTTTTGGGTTATTTTTTTATTTTGTTTTTGTATTGAATTTGTCGCTTATAGTCAAAGTCTCTCTTTCTTTCAAACTCTCTCTCTCTCTAAGGTTTTTCCTATTTCACATTGAATTTTATCCTCATTCAACTTTTCTTATTTTCGTTCATACGATAATTGTTTAATATTCCTACTCAAACAGCATCTTCTTACTTTATTCTCCCATGCATTCACACCATGATTTTGCTCATTCTTCCCCCATTTCTCATATTTCATCTCAATAATCTCCCTTTTCCTGCCTTATATTCAACGATATGAGGCATGAATTACATTTTAAAATTAGTTATTAATCTTCTCTTCTCACTTCTTAATTTTTCACCTTTAATCTTCTATTATCTCACGCCTCTTATTATTTATTATTTTAATGTGGAATTTTATTCCATTCATTACTTTATGTTATGCACCCTTATAACCTAATCTTATCCCCCTCTC